CCCCACCCCCACCCCATTCCCTCCACCCTCCTTTGTACTGGGGAATGGCCAAAGCCCGTCTGCTCAGTGACCCACCTGGTCCCATCTGCAGGGCAAACGCAGAGTAATTCCCTGCTGCTGGGGAAGGACAGTCCCTTTAGGTCTCCAAGGAAGCCAAGTAGAACAAACGTGTTTTAACTAGGCTTTGTTAAAGAAGCAACATTCTGCTGGTTCCCATGACACACTAAGGTATAAACCATGGCTTACAATCACAATTGGCTGGAAACCGGAAAGCTAGTTGTCTTTTCCCCTTTTTCAGACATTTCCCAAGACAAGGGGGCAATGAGCTTTTGAAGGTCCTAATCCTGAGCAGTTACACAGCAATCTTATGAAGGCTTCAACCAACATTTACTCCTTTGGCTTTTCTCCTTTTAATCAAATTAACCTATTTTGAGGCTAATCAACAAAAAAGGCCTTTTCCTGTTGCAAATCTTTATCGTCTGTGACTTCAAGTTTGACCATGTGGTTATTCCATGCTGACTTTTTACAGAAATACAACAGAAACTGACTCTTGTAGTAAAACACCGGGGATCATTCCTTAACAGATTCTGCATACGGGAGCATAATAGACAAAATACTGTTTCAGAACTATCTTTCAGGCACATTGGGCTGTTAGTTAACCCTTCACCCTCCCCAGCAAGAAAGGATGCCGGGATCTCTTGTCCTGGAAAAAGCCAGTCTGGAAAGGGTAGAAATCCAGTGCTGCTTTCTTATGGGGGAACAAGATCTAGCTCAAGCCTGGGAAAACTGATCTCCTTCCCAAATCCACTCACCAGCCCAGATATCACCAGGTGGCTAACAACCACCAGGGCCAGCTTCCAATAGCGCCTCTTCTCACAGGCGTCAAAGAAAATGGTCCCCCAGAATGTGTGTAAGAAAACCAGGGCCATTGTCAGAAAGGCTGGAATGAGAAGCAAACATGGAAATCAAGCCACACGCCATGCCTGAAAGCGCTGCAACTGAAATGACCAAGAGTACACCATCATGGCCAAGCGCAGCAAAACAGTACTTCACCAAACAGGCATATTAATACAAAACGCCTAACAAAAGGAATAGGAAAAAGTTACAAAACCGTGAAAGAATAGCTGCCTTCAGCCGTTTTTAAGCAAAGTGTTAGGATTCTTTTCACACCTGTAACGCCAACGTGCTTTACTTTTTCAGTGGGGTTTGCAGCCCAATCCATGCGCGCAGCACTACTGGAGAAGCAGGCTTGAAGGAGCGATTATTCCAAAGGTGTTATAGGTTCCCCCCGCTTGCATCAAACCCTATGTCATGGAGGCAGTTGAACTAGATCAACTCTGTCTTTCTATAGCCTAACCAGCTGTATTTCATACCCTTTGATCCCAAAATGTTTGAAAATGCCTTTTGCCAAAACACCATGAGGGACCAGACAAAAATCCACATATTTATGCAACTCTTGTTTTTTAAAAAATGTTTGTTTCTCCCTCAACACCCACAAAAGGCCCTACCTGATGTGATGAAGTAATAGGGTGAATCCCCATGGATGCCAACTGTGCCAGGACCAATGGAATCCGCAAGAATGTTAATGACGGAGAAGACGCCGCTGATAATTCCAAAGGAGAGGCCTGACACTGCCAGCGGGAGAGGGATGGAGAATTATAGTGGAAAACATTTGAAGTGGTTGCAATCCTGATAGCTATTTGTAAAAGACTTGGTACGAGCGCTCTGCAGAAAAGGCAATTCAGAATAACAGAGAGCAGCTCTGTGATCTGGGACCATTTTGAAAGTGGAGGACCTCAAAAAGGGAAGACTCTAACAGCGTAAGCCATTTCAGCCATAGCTTCGGCCTCGCAGTTAAGCCAAGACCGAGGTCATTAAAAAGCAGAAAGACTGCTTGAGGGTCAGGGAGAGGGGCAGAAGGATGATCCACGACTCTCCTCCGCGGGAGCCCACTCACCGTATGCCATTTGTTTGAGCGAAATGGGTGATCGCCCATCTTCACTTATGGTCACTAGCCCTTCATCGGCTTTCCTAAAAGAGGGTGCAGAGGAAGCGGGGAACTCGTTCAGTTCCAGAAATAAAATGTGGGCGCCTCCACTGACTGCGCCTTTCCCGCCTGCTCTCTTGGAGTCTTCGTCCCATTTAGGTTCAAGGTGCAGAGGTTCATCTTTAATTAACGAGATCTGTAACGCAGCCCCAAAGAGCAGAGGCCTGGATTCGCCGATCCCCGCCCCCGCATTCAGCCGCAGAGCCACCCGCAAATGAGCTAAAGGAAGGGGGCACAGACGGGTACCCCGAGTGGGGAACGTCCACCCGGGACGCCGCAGGGCGGGATTATCTTCGGCTCCCCCGTCCAGCCCGCAGGCCTCAGTTCCTGCGGAGGGAAGGGCCGGGAGGACTCAGCCCGCGGCGGGCGCCCTTCTCTTACTTGAGGAGCCGGAAGTGGGCGAAGCGGAAGGCCTCCTGCAGCAGAACCGACACCGCTGCGCCGAACATCAGCAGGCCGTGCTGCAGCCGCTGGTCTTCCGGGTCGCTCAGGCGCACCGAAACACACCAGACCAGGGACGCCACGAGGAGGGAGGCCAGCCAGAAGAAGGCCCTGCACCGACGACAAAGGAGCGGGGAGCTAAGGCCAGGCCAGGCGAGGCGAGGCGAGGCGAGGCGAGGCGAGGCG